CCTGTCTTCACCCCCTGTGCTCTCCAAACCCAAGGTGGGGGAAACTCTGTACCTCTACCTCGGCGTTAGCCCTGCTACCATCAGCTCAGTGCTAATCCGGGAGTAAGACGGCATCCAACATGCCATCTTCTATGTTAGCAAGACTCTCAGAGAGGCGGAACTCATGTATTCTCCCGTGGAGAAGACAGTTCTTGCCATCGTTTGGACCGTAAAGAAACTGGGCCATTACTTCCAAGCCCATCCGATCCGGGTCCTCACACACCAACCCCTCGCTCTTTGATGAGGAGTCCCACCAGCTCCTCCCGAATGGTAAAATGGGCTATCTTCCTTAGCCAGTACAACATTGATATCCGTCCGAGGCCTGCCATAAAGGGCCAATCCCTGACGGACTTCGTGACGGAATGCACAGCAAGAGCAGCAGTGGATGAGGAGCCCTCGGCACCCTCAGATGAATGGTGGACCCTCTATATCGATGGCTCCTCTGCTACCAAAGCATGCAGAGGAGGGGTAGTTCTCGTTACGCCCGAAGGCTTCTGCGCCTACTATGCCATCCGCTTCTCCTTCAAAGTCTCCAACAACGAAGCAGAGTATGAGGCCCTCCTCTGTGGCCTTCGGCTGGAAGCTAACATGAAGGCCTGACAGATCCATGTGAGGTGCGACTCTAAGTTAGTCGTCGGCCAAATTTCAGGGGAATATGAGGCCAAGGAAGGAAGAATGAAACAGCACAAGGAAGCGGCCAAGGAGTTGCTTAAGGTATTTGAGGCCCATTCTCTCACTCAAATACCAAAGGCTCAAACTTCTGAGGCTGACATTTTATCAAAGCTCTCGAATGAGTCCCCAGAGCACCTCTCGAAGATTGCGAGAATTGAGGAACTCAGCCTCTCAAGCATACACGCCAGCCCCATCATGCAAATACAAAAAAAAGCTTGAGGACTGGATATCAGACATCGTGAACTTCATCTCTTCAGGATGAAACCCGCGCCAAACTGGCAAAACTGAGGGCTCCCAGCTACACCATTGAGGACGGAAGGCTTTACAAGCGATCTTATAACGGTACGTTACTTCGATGCCTTCATCAGGATGAGGCCGAGGTGGCAATGGAAGAAGTACACAGTGGCACTTGCTCAGCTCACCAGGGACCCTTCTCCATATCCCGAAGGCTCATAGTACAAGGCTACTTCTGGCCCACAATGGCACGGGATTGTGCGAATCTCGCTTGAAGGTGCGCCGACTGCCAACACTTTCAGAAGGCCCCCCGGTAGGCCAGCAGTTAACTATGCCCCCATCAGCACTGCTATACCCTTCTCTAGGTGGGGCATTGACCTTGTAGGCCCACTGCTGAGGGGTACCTCCAACAACATGTACATCATCGTGGTCATCGACTACTTCACCAAATGGGTGGAGGCTGAGCCCCTCGCCAGCATTACAGAGGCCAGGTGCCGCCACTTCGTCCTCAAGAACATCCTCACAAGGTTTGGCGTCCCCCAGCAAATCATCTCCGATAATGGAACTCAGTTTGAGGCAGCCCCCTTCTGCGCCCTCCTCGAGGCATGGGGCATCAAGCACACATTTTCATTCGTTGCCTACCCTCAAGGAAACAAGCAAATCGAGAACGCCAACCGGACTCTTTTGGAGGGACTAAAAAAGAAGCTGGAAGCCAAAGGAGGAGGCTGGGTGGAAGAACTCCACAACATCTTATGGGCCTATCGCACCACCCCTCGGCGGGCAACAGGCGAGACACCCTTCTCCCTTTGCTACGGATTCGAGGCTAAAGCTCCCACTGAAGTAACCCTTCCTACTCAAAGGGTGGACCAATACGAGCCTGAGGTCAACGATGCCAACATGGCCCTCGACCTTCACCTGATCTCAGAACGCCGAGAGCAATCCTTCCTAAGGGTGGAAAACTACCGAAGACAAGTGAAGGGCTACATCGATGCCAAGGTTCGTTCCCGAGAATATCAAGTGGGGGACTACGTACTCCGAAGGAGAGAAGCTAGTCAGCCAACCGAAGGTGGCAAGATGGCACCGAAGTTTGAAAGCCTCTATATCATTGCAGCCATCATCAAGCCAGGGACTTACAAACTCAAACGCCCCAATGGGACCGAGGTCCCTCGACATTGGAATGTACACCACCTGGTTAAATTTAATCAATGATGTTAGAGCGGCCAAGCCCTCATAACTCACGAATGTATTACCCAATGGCCCAAGGCCCCCAATTTTTCAAGAATAAAGATACGTTGAAGACACCAAATACAGAGAACAAAACGCTTGTGAGCGGCCAAGCCCTAATACAAGCTCCTGGCCCAAGGCCTTATCACAAACAAGACATCCCAACACCATGTGCCGAGGGTGGACCCTCCATCAACTGTAATAACGAAGGCACCAAGTGTTTTCAGAAGGAGACCCCTCGATATCGAGCACCGGATGCAGTATACGAGGAATGACACCAAGTGTTAAAAATAAAGCTGTACCCCTCGAGGACGCAACCATACCGAAGGTTCCATCTATCGGTGTTGGGGGTACCAAGTACCACCAGCCATTTGCAACTAATATGAAAATAAAGCCCTTCCCTGAAATGCTTTCCGCATCATTACCCCAAGGGAATGGCAGGCAACAGACTATGTCCCGTGCCGAGGATTCGACTTTCAAAAACGAAACGGTTCCCGCGCCATTACCCCAAGGGAATGGCAGGCAACGGACTATGTCTCGGGCTGAAGGAACGACTTTCAAAACTGAGGCGTTTTCCGTGCCATCCCCCAAGGGGAGGCAGGCAACAGACTATGTCTCAGGCCGAGGAAACGACCCTCGATCCCCTCGGAACCCGGAAGGTTAATCCCGAGGTGGGAGCCAACGGTGTATACCGTTGCCTCCTGTTAGGCCAAGCCTTACCAAGAAACCAAGTTTCTTGAAGCCTTCCCTTCACTAAAAAAATGGGGTGAAGGGGAGTAGACTCAATGAGAAATCAATGAGTATAAATTTACAGCAAACACCCATCGACAACTAGCAAGAATACTTCTCATAAGGTAGTCCAGGCTATGCCGAAGGCTCTTGTTCAAGAAGTCACCTTTTACAGTGGCACTTATTTTTAAGGCTACTATTCAACAGGTGTTACCACAATGTGGTCAAGTCCACAATCTGGTTGCCTCCGGCATCAACCAATACCGAAGGCTCTAATCTTACAAAGGGGTCGAATTGGTTAAAGTCCAAGCAACAGCAGCCTCCGGCCCTACAATAAACACCAGAGGCTCCGTTCATACAAGTGGGTCAAAATCAACTAATCTCACGTTTATACCGATGACTACTACCTGCAAGGGCCATGGGAATTTTCTAAGTCCCCAATGACGGGCCCCCCGGGAGCCTAGGGCGAAGGCCACTCTATTTCATACACCTAAAAGGAGGCTTTAACCGAGGGCTTAGGGGTAAAACAACACTTGGAGAATTTTCTAAGTCCTAAATCTTTGGCCGTCGAACAACTCGTGACATCCACACAAAATAAGGTTTCAACCGAAGGCCTAGTAATGCACATCACTTAGAAAATCTGCTAAGTCCTAGATATTTGGCCTCCGGTCAACTCATGGTGCAAACTGACATTCAAGAAAGAAAGCATGGAAGAAAGACGAAGGCATCACCAACAAACATGCATTCCTAAAAGCTCTTAAGGCTCTCGCAATGCACCACCCTCCAAACGTTACCCCTGAAGGCTCTAGTTGGGGGGGTCCACCAAACCCAAAGGCACGTTTGCTCAACAAATATTGAAGGCGCTCACTATACACTACTGAAGGTGACTACTCATTGACATGAGCTCGAATTGCCTAAGTCCAGACTCCAATAGCCTCCGGCACTGCAATCAATATCGGAGGCTCCTATTCTACAAATGGGTCAACGATCAACTAGTTCCAAGTTTCTATCGAGGGCTACTAGTTGCAAAGTCAAAGGAAATTTTTCTAAGTCCACAAGTTGAGTGCCCCCGGCACCACCACGCTATGCTAAGGGATATTTAACCTAAAACCACAGTGACCAAGGGCGCCACACGCTAAGAAAGATGTCAACCGAGGGCGTACTCACAACACTGGCCAAAATTTTGGCTAAGTCCACAACACCGGACCCCTCGAGAGTTTAAGGCGAAGACTAACTATTCCCTACAGATAAAAGGCGATGTCCAACGAGGGCCTACGTGTGGACAACACCTAGAAAAATTTTCTAAGTCCTAAATGCTTATCCCTCGGTCAATTCACCATGCGGACATGCATTCATAGAACTAAGGAAGAAAGCATAAAGAATATGAAGGAAATTGTTACATTAGGGTCGAAGCCGAAAGCTACGAATGTTTGTACTTAACATTGTTCAGAAAATGTTTAAGAATACATCAAGAATGATCACCTTCAGCAGCACCCCCCTCGGCGGGCTTCGAGGAGACGTCCCCTCCGGCTTCCTCTTCATCCCTGGCCTCCTGCATCAGCGTGGAATCTTCAAGATCAGGCCTTTCAGCATCCGCATGGAGGGGGACTCTGGTGTCTGGCTGAAGAGGGGGAAGACCGTGAGCCGTCGGGTCAAAGGCCTTCGGGTCCATTCCCATGTGCCGGGCTAGCCTCCGGTATATGAGGGCTTGAGTAAAGAACTCGCCCCCGTCATAATACTCCTTGCCCTTGCGGGCTAGCCACATGGCCCCAGGGCCCTTCACCCACTCATCCACCGAGGTCTCCACCACAAAAGCCACCCACTCCTTGGGCCCCTCGGTCTTCCACTTCTCAGTGATGAAGGCAACAACGGCATCCCCCCAAGCCTTGGCCATGGCTTCTTCCATGGCGGCCTCTGCGTCATCGGCAGCCTTCTTGGCAGCCTCCGCTGCCATCTTCTCGGCCTCAGCTCTACCCTCAGCTCTGGCCACCACCTTGTTGTTCTCGAGAATTTTGCCGAAGGCCTCCTTCTCCAAACGGAAGGCCTTCTGCGCCTCCATGAGCTGCTTCTGGGCAAGGATCAGGGCTTCATCAATTTGTGCCTTCTGAAGTTGCGATTGCTCCATCCTTTGAATGAGCTCACCAAGCCCAAGGCATGCCTGCAAAGAAAACCCGAAGGCATTGAGAACATACGCACAGGGTGTTAGAAACCATTTGAGTAAAGGTAAGAGAGAAGGAAGAATCTTACCGTAACCGAGGCCTGGAGGACCTTGGAGCAGAGGGCATCATTAGCATGCAGGGATAGCACCGACTTGTCTGTCAGGGGGGTGGCACCCCTCAGGAACTCCCTCGGGTTCAAAGTGCCATGCATGATGGCAGTCCCTTTGGTAATTGAGAACTGCACGCTGTCTTGGGGCCATGACGCACCACCAACCTGAGACGGGGGCTCGGAGGAGGAATGTTCCTCGACAATGACAACGAGGGCCTCTTTCTTCTTAGTGTCCCCCTTCCTCTGCTTCTTCCCCTACCGGGGGCACCACGACCTTCCCGGCCCTCTTTCTCTTAAGGTCCCCAACGGGGGAGCCCTCGGCAGCAGAGCCGACATCTTCACCAACAATAGCCTTCACCAAAGGCCCTCCATCATTCCTAGTTCCCGCCTTCGGGAAGATCTCGTTTATGGCCCTCTGTTGAGCCGGAGCCTCCTTCTTCTTGCCCTCCTTGGCCAGTTGCCTTTTCAGCTTGGCAAGGTTTCTGGCATCCATATCGGGTCCTGGAAAACAAAGGAAACATTATGGTATTGGATTATTACTACAAGCAAGGCAATAAAAAATATATATATAAAAAAATCTTAAGTACAAAAATGAGATCCCTCGACAAGCACCTTCGGCACTTTGATACACCATGTCGATGACAGGGTACTTCTCATCCTTCTCCCCCACCTTCGGATGGGTGGCATCTTTGATTAACACATGTTTCTCGGACCCTTCCGGATTCTTGGACAGCTTTCTCCCATTCTTCTCGAGGATGGCTCCTTCAACCTTCATATGCCCCCGGAAGCTATCGTGAAGTGGGCCGGGGAAGGGGTTCTCCGCCAAGCGGATGTAGCAGAACTTGTCCTTCCATCCCTTGTGGGACGAAGGGACATCGTCAAAGAGCCTAATACCCGGAAGTTGTTGCAGATTGCTGAAGCCTCCATCATTTGAGTGACCCCCTCGACATAGGTTGAACGACAAAAAGAATTGGTCCAAGGTAGGATGGACCCCCCGGCTCCGGCACAAGGAGAGGAAGCCGGCGATATAAGAGTGGCTGTTGGGCGTCAGCTGGCAAGGGGTGAGCTTGACGAAACGAAGGTATTCGAGCACGAAGGGGTGAAGAGGGAACCGGAGGCCCAACTCCATCGAGAGTATGTGCACCGCGAAGCAACCAGAGGGGGCATATAGTAGCACATCATCTAGCCCCGGCTCCACCACCTGCACCGAGGGCCCAGCCAGGAACTGTGTCGCCATGTACTCCCCCTGTGTGGCCTTAGTCTTCACCTCTAAGGTGGTCGTGTTCAGGTAGGAATAGCCCTCGGGTATGCCAACCGGCTGCCCAGCATCGACGACGGCTTGCTTTTTCTTCGGCGCAACTTTCACCTTCTTCTTCTTCCCCGGGGCCACCCTGAGAGGCGTCGGGTCTAAGGGCCTAGAGCTGCTGGCCTCACCAGCATTGCGTATGGGAAGGATGGCGACAGTGACTTTTTGCCTATCTTTTTCCTCCTCTTCTTCCGTAGTTTGAAGAGCGAGGGCCAGCTCCTCGTCATCATTGACCGGTTCAAAGTCCTCGGCCTCGGCCTCAGTGACGAGATCCTTCTGCACCTCCATAGCCACAGCGGAATCACCACTCACCGAAGATTGTTCGCTCGAAGACTCCACTTCGGATATGCTTTCTACTTGAGCCGAGGGCTCCTCCGAGATGTTTTGGGAATCACTCGCGGACGACATTTTGGTCGAGAGAAAAGGATAGAAGGAGGAACTTCCTAAGGCCTCTAAACACTAGATCTAAAAGCAGGGAAGCTAAATATGCTAAGGGTGCAAAGAGCGGAGAAAGAACTAACCTCGGAAGTGTGGTTCGATCGAAGGGGAGTTTCTCTCTCTAGAAAATTTTTGCCAGAGCTTCGCTACAACAAGGGACGCGTAAGGAAGAATGACTCTGGCCAAGGGGTATTTATAGGCCCCCCACTCCGGGCTTGGTCCGAAAAGCGAGCCCCTGATGGCAAAAAGCCATCATTACAAACCGCCGCCTCAACCAACCGGTGACGCCCGCCCGGGACAGCCAACGGGAACACGCCACGTAGCCCCACCTACAATGTTCATATTACAACGACTATATTTTGAGAGTGCAGGAACCCCCTCAGCTGGCACCCCTCAGACAACAATTGTGCACGCCTTCAGGTCAACTCTTTCAACCCCCCCCCCCCCCCACCAGGGAACCCCTAGACAACACAGGAACAAACATTTGCATTCCTCGCCCCCTCAGCCCTCGACGGCTGGTGGACTCCCCTCGGCATTCCCGGAATATCCTCAAAGTGCCTACGGCTAATCAACAAGAAAGCCCCCGGGCCACGGATAGCTCTCGACGATAACATTACTCTTCATCTCAAACCAAGGGCTCGCCCTTTTTATTCATCATTAGGGGAATTCAGTGCAATCTTTTTCCCTCATTAGGATTTTTTCCCACAGGGTTTTTCCTGATAAGGTTTTTAACGAGGCATCCCCCCAAAATTAAACAAAAAGCATCAGCCCTCGGACATAGACTGAAGACAGACAATGTTCTACTCCTTTTTCACCACATTACATGTGCCTTAAGGAGTGGGGGACTGGAGAACCCCCTCGGGAAAATCACAAAATGTTAAAAGTTCCCTATAGCATCAACAAAAACTCTTCAGACTCCTACAACTCTACAAACGCAACTACTCCTTTTCCCTCAAGTACCTTTCGGCAAAAGGAGTGATGGACTCCTGATGGAGTATATGGCCTAGGGAGCCCCGGCCCACAGACTCCTACTCTTGCAATCGGGCCCAACAGGCCCAAATGGGCCAAGCCCAACAAAATGAAGCTCTAAGCAGCCCACGACACGCAAATGGGTGCCTTCGTCCCCATGACTGAAGGCTACCATTGACAGAATCAAGCTCAGAAATATCACAGGAGAACAAGGCTTGAAAACCGAGCCTTCGGCACTTGGAGCCCTCGGCACTATGAGGCCCCCGGTACGAAGAGCCTTGAGATTGTCATCTACAGCCGAAGGCATCCTCCTCGACAGAATATCCTCTCCACATGCGCCTGAATTATCGTACCAAGTACAACGTCACATCAAACCACTGCATTTAATGCGGCCACATGCAGGTGCCGGTGCCACCCGATTAAGGTGACCCCTCGTCCGTTAGATTATTGGCACGTGTACTCTCATCGCGTTTATTGCTGCTATAAATAGCAACCCATTTCTCCATTGTTAGACACGCAAAAATTCATATTGAATATACACTCTCTCTTACTTATTTGCTCTGACCTCTCTCTAGTTATTCCCGCAATAACCCCCCGGATAGATACCCCCGGGTACACTATCCATCAATATATGTATCCCAAAGTAATAGAGACTACCAAAAATAACAAGTCTAGAATTTTCTAAATAATATATCCGTACAATAGTACTCAAAATGTAAAATTGCAAAGTTGATGCAACACACAAAAAACAAAGTTTGAAGGAGGGATGGAGTAAAATCGTTACTTAAAAGTAGAGATTATTAGTAGTACTATATATTTAAGTTGAATTATTGAATGTAGTATGCATGAGTGCATCTATGTTTAAGAAACCGGAAGAGACCATGCTACGTGATCGGGTCACGGGTCAACCCAGATCCAGTCAACGCTATAAAACCGATTAACCATTTAACAATAATAAACAAATATGGTATACAAAATTAAAATAAAAGGTGGTTATTTCATAAATCAAATAATAATAGGCAAAATGGTCAAATAGGCCCTCGAACTAACTTAAAAAGTAGTATAAAATGAATTTGTGAACTAGATTTAATTTTAGCACAAATTCATTTTACTGCCTTCCCGATTGAATTTTTAGCTGAAATTTAGTATGAGTAAACTAGATTTAATGAAGAAAATGCTCAAAAAATTTGATCAAAAACTTCCACCGGAAACCATCCCAAATGGCGACGGCCAAACAGAGTCTCCTATGTAAGGGATGATTTGCACTTTTAAGTTAGTTCGATGACCTATTTGATCATTTTCCCATAATAATAAAAAGTCTCATAATATTCCAAAATACCATTTTGGTCTTCTAAAAATATACTCCCTCCGTCCATTAAAACTTTGCCAACTTTCCTTTTTTGGATGTCCCACTAACTTTGCCACTTTCCCTTTTAAATAAAGAATTTGTGGTTCCAATTAATTCTCTCTCTTCTGCACAAACCTCAACCACACAGTTTTTACTTTATTAATCCCCGTGCCGGTCAAACTTGGCAAAGTTTTAAGGGACGGAGGTAATATAATGATACTCCATATTTGTTATTTTTATTGGAAACTTATTATATAATTTGACATGATTTATATTCTTAAACAAGTAAATAGTATATAAATATACTGCATATTTTTTGTTTTTGGGGTATTGAAATTGCAATTTTATTGGTTAAAAATTCTTTAAAATTAAAAAAATGGAAAAAATAGAAATCAGGGTTTTCTGGCTTTTACGGGTTTTGCCGGGTTGGCCGGGTTTTTCCTATTTTTGACCATTTCCGGATTTTTAATTAATCGAACCGGCTTTCAGTCCGGGTCGCCAGGTCAACCAGGTCGGTTTTTTAAGCATAGGACTGCATGAGTACCTAAAGTGGTAATCTATTTTTTTCTTTAAATTTGCCATATTTTATTTTTTTAGCTAATTAAATTAAACTTTGTTCAAAAGGCATTGCATTTTTTTATTTATAGGAAATGATTTATAAAAGCCTTCTATGCTAATGACGCATACGACAGATGTTTTCGATTGGATTATGATTTTATAATTTAGTCGATTTGTCTAGATTTATTTAGCATCGAAACCAACTTAATAAAAAACATCTCACATACTCAAATTTGACTTAATGAATCCCATGCATCCAAATCTAAACACATCAAACTCTAGGGTACTTTCTTGATTATAACTGCAAGGTACTTTTTTTTGGAACAATCACAGGGTACTTGTAAATTCAAAATAAACACCGGAATATGTGTATATTCAAAATATATACTGTATATAGATAGAAAAAAATTTATTGATGTTTTGACTTTATTGTGTAAATTAGATCTGTTTTTGTTCTAACTCGAGAATATGTTATATTTCACTCTAATTATTGATCGCAAAATATAAACATTTTCTACTTATATAAGTTAAATATAAAATCCTAATTGTATTTATATTTTAGCAAGTTTGTTATGTTAGACAGACTTGGGATTTTTTAATTGGATT